AAAACACTCGAAGGACAAGGCTGTCATCAGTCACAGCCAGCATGGCTTCCTGAAAGGAAAGTCCTGTTTATCAAACCTGATTTCATTTGATGACAAGGTAACCTACCTAGCTGATTAAAGGAAGCCAGTTGATGTAATGTTTTGGATTTCAGTAAAGCTTTCGATACTGTCTCTCACAGGAACCTTCTGGACAAGGTGTTCAGCACACAGCTAGATAAACACAACATGTAGTTGGTGAGCAATTGGCTCATGGGTTGAGCGCAGAGGGTAACAGTGAATGGGGTAACATCAGACTGGTGATCTGTCACTGGTGAGGTTACACAGGGAACCTCTTCTTAGGCCCTCTACTCTTCAACATCTTCATAAATCACTTGGATGAAGGACTGGAAGGGATACTAAGCAAGTTTACAGACACAAAACTGGGAGGAGCTTTTGACTCCGTTGAAGGCAGAGAGGTCCTGAAGAGAGACCTCGACAAATTAAAGGACTGGGCAACCAGATGAAGTTCAACAAGGGAAAGTGCCGGATTCTGCACCTGGGATGTTCATACAGACTGGGGAAGGAGATGATGGAAAGCAGTGCCACAGAAAGAGACCTGGGGTTCCTGGTCAGTGGAAAGTTGAATAAGAGTCAGCAGTGCCCTGGCAGCCAGGAGGGCCAACCATGTCCTGGGGGGCATCAGGCAAAGCATCACCAGCTGGTCGAGGGAGGGGATTGTCCCATCTTGCTCTGCACTGGTGCGGCTTCACCTTGAATATTGTAGCAGTTTTGGGCACCATGATATCAGAAAGATATTAAGCTCTTATAGACCATCCAAAGAAGGGCAGTGAAGATGGTGAAGGACCTTGAGGGGAAGCCATATGAGGAGCAGCTGAGGTCACTTGTTCTGTTCAGCCTGGAGAAGAGGAGACTGAGGGGAGATCTCATTGCAGTCTACAACTTTCTCATGAGAGGAGGAGGAGGGGCAAACACTGATCTCTTGTCTGTGGTGACCAGTGACAGGACTCAAGGGAATGGCCTGAAGTTGTGTCAGGGGATATTAGGTTAGATATTAGAAAGAGGTTCTTCACCCAGAGGGTGTTTTGGTACTGGAACAGGCTCCCCAGGGAAGTGGTCACAGCACCAAACTTGACAGAGTTCAAGAAGCATTTGGATGATACTCTCAGGCACATGGTGTAACTCTTGGGGATGGGCCTGTGCAGGGCTAAGGGTTGGACTTGTGAGTTCATTCCAACTTGGCATATTCTGTGATTCTGTGTTGTGTGTAACCCTTCCCACCCTAAAAAAACCAAAAACCAAACCAAACCAAATCAAAACAAACAAACAAACAAATAAAAAAAAAGGGCAGAAAGAAATGGCCTTTCTAATGGTAAACTAGAGACATTTCACAGTCCTCTAAGACCACATATTTTTCTAGCTATTAGGAATGACAAAGCAACTCTAGGAATACAACACACTGTTTCTTCTTCTTTCAAGGAAAAGCAGTCCTCTTTTTTTTTGTTTTCTCTTTTCCCTTACCTTTATTCTCTCTGTTAACCTGCAACTATGTCTTTGTAGTCTGTTTCATTCTTCTTTTCCATTCCTTCAACTTTTGTCCCGACAACTGTCCTTCTCTGTCCAAAGAGATGTCAATGTTCTAATGCTCAGAGTTCAGTCCTGAAGCTTCAGATACTCAATGCTGCAGCATAGCATGCAGGTCCATATGTGACTTCTGTATCTCAGAACCGTGTTAAAAAAGACCTGTATCTTGGATACAGAGGGGTCCAAATTAATATATCACAATGCTGAGAATATTGGTATGGTTTAAATCCTACCCATCTATAAAGCTTAGGTAGTGAAAGTAATTTTCTTTCCCAAGATTTTTCATTCCAAAGACTAGAAAAGAAAGCTCTACTCCATATGGTCCTGTTTTTTTCAAAACGAGAGCAGATTTTGCTTCTGACTTTCAAAAGGACAGAAAAGAATTTCCTGGTGCTTGATGCACTATTTTAAGTAATTGGTCTGAGTTTAGAGCAGTCCTTCAGGAAAATATAATTTCTCTTTCCTTTTAGGACTGAAAGTATTTCAGTTTTCAGCATTTCCTTGTAAAAAGTTGAGAGTGTGCTTGGGGTTTTCTCAGTCACCACTGCTGATTCTTCTGGTGGAAGTAGAGGAAATACGAGGGAGAGGAGAATGGAAGATATATCTACATATGTATAGGGGAGAAAGGATGTTGTTTCAGAGGTAGAACAGCTTTTATGCAGCTATCCATTGGAGCAAGATTATTTCCTGGTGGCTAGGACACTTACTCTGGGGAAGATAAACCTGTAGTCTAGTCTTAATTCAATGATTCAATGGTGACATCTGCATTAGTTAAAATGTAAGATTAAGCATCATCGATGTGAGAATTATAGGGGAATATACATTAAAAAATTCTTATGTTTTGTAGGATAAAGATGACATTTCTCTGCTTGGATGTTTTTTACCAATTCAAATACATATTTTCATGTAGAGAGAAAAATGTGTTTCTATAGAATTTAGATGCTTCAGGGCATAGTTGGTATCTGTGCAGAATTTTTGAGAACCACTGTCTCAAATTTGGTACCCTAATTTCTCTCCATGCATGCATCACACCTTTTCTTATTCCTTCTCTTCAGTACAGATGTTTTTTCCTTTCTCCCATGGTGGTTTTTCTACAGGTGCTGGTTTTGGAGGAGAAACAAGGCCCCCCTCCCTCCAGAAACTGCTAAGAATGGCTGCTGTGTGAACAACTGTATAGGTTTGTTCCATCCTTATTTTTGATGCTTGTGATGGTTTCCTCTCAAGAAATCATAAAAGAAGTATTATTCAACACGATATGAGCAATTAGGCTTTATCATACTGTATGACAGAAATCTCTGTTCCAACCCAGATCTCTTACAATGTGTATGAGAAACCATAATTTTCTCACTTAGGCAATCTTCTATCTAAAAAAATACTCTAAATCTTTCTATAGTAATAAGTTACATTAAAAAAAAAGGCTATCTGAAATGAAGCTGGACAAAAATAAATCTATTATTATATAGTGTGTGGAGGAAGGTACAAGAAATAAATGATACATGGCTTCATTTGTGATAGGCAAAGATACTGAAAAATCAAAATCCAAAAAAAATAAAATTAACCCTCCTGAAGGATGTTTGTATGCACCCTTTATACTGTCAGCATCTAAGTGGGATTTCACTTCTTCTGTATAAGAAAAAGAGAGGAACAAAACCAGCAAACCACCAATTTAATGATCGCTTTTATGTAAATATACATGTGCAGTCATGCATAAGAATGTACACACTGAATGACTGCATCTATGCCTGTCATATAAACAAAGATGATGTCTTTATTATACGTCTATACTTAAAATGCATTTTCCATTAGTATATTGAGGCTTCTCCCAGACTGACAGTTACAGTACAGCCCTCTCAACAACAGTCTAATTGTTTCCAAAGGCTAGTAATAAGCCAGGCTTTGCAGGGATTTGTTTTGACAACTTCTGATTTCTGAAAATTCTTCCTCAACTTAAGGCTATCTTGTGAACTTAAAAGAGGTAAAGAGGTGTTTGATTGAAGTAGATTTGCACTTTTGTGTAATTTTTATTTTTGAGTATCACCTTGTATAGATCTGATAGGATTCTTTTTTTCAATGTTCAGTCGTGTTAGGGAGTTTAATTACGATTAAAGAAAAGATTGTCTAAATTCTAATGTAAGCTGTGACATCCTACTGCTTCTTGATATTCATTATTTTGCCTTTCTATATTTCAAACCAATAACTGTAGCTGGCAAAAAAAAAATTGTAAACCAAAATCAGGAGAATTATTGTAAACATAAATATTATACCACATTATGTCAACTTGCAGAGCAAAAAGGAATACAGGAACTATTATAAAGTCAGTAGTAACACGTAAGGTATTGCAAAATGTTATCTCTGAACATTAATTGATTTTTAAAATTAATCCACATAATTTCATGTCCTTTTTGAAGATGCTTTCCATTTATATTCTAGCTGTGAAGTTTGCTGCAGGTTAGAAGCTCTTATAGATCTGTGTATGTTTTCTATTCAGGGTCTGAATATATACATTATACTGGGTGAAACATTCATGGAAGACTTTCAGGATTCCATTATAAAAATCAGAGTTTGTAATTCTGAACAGTCAGAGAGAAAATCTAGGACTCAATCTTTTATTGTTCTGCCAATTACTCAACACCATTCTACCTATACAAATGTAATGAACAGACTGTGCTGAACTTGTAAAGCATAACACTCATAAAGCCACAGATTTTTAATTTTTTTTGTCTCATGAACTGCAGCCAGGCTCTGAGTGAATTCCCACAATGGCACACAAAACCTACCCACCTGAACAAAGGAGACTTCACTGCATGTCCCCACCCGGAACTGACTACTTAAATCCATTAGGAGCTAGATAATAAGGTAACACCTTATTCAGAAAACAATAAATAGTCCCCCTCAGGAAGACCACAATGCTCAGATTTGCAACACCATATGGAAGCAGCAATCTGAGGAGAGGAATTGCCACGTGTAGGAGCTGGAGCTGTCAGCCATGATCACAGTGAGCTTCCTATTTCCAGGGGCCATCTGAATTGGCTAATGTAAACTGGATGAGTGGGACTGAGCTGTGAGTTGTGTGAGGTCTGTGTTTGCAGGGCAAACATCACTGTCCACAGGCTGTATTTGTCCGGCCAAGCAAAACAGCTCTAGGTTGTGTGTCAAAGACTGCTGTGATCTGCTTGAACAGCCACCATGCCAATCTCTCCAGAGATCCGGAGATTTCAGCTGAAGACCAGGTAAAACATGGACGAGATCTTCTGCAACTTCTGAGGCAATGACTTGGTCCACAAAAGACTTAAGAGACCTTTTTTGCCCCTTAGTCAACAGAGGCCCAGAGCCAAGACAGTGGAAGAAAACTGTAACCTATTACTCATAGGAGACCGAAATCAAGACTGTGAGGAGTCACAGGGGACCTAATCCAACACTACAATGGATTATGTCTCCCTTAATTATTGTAGAAAATATGTAGCCTCAAACTTGCCATTTAACACAACAGCTCAGGAAATCCAGTCGTAAAACCTTCTCAGCCACATGCTCTAGACATGTGCTTTAGGCATTTCAGTTGGGGTAAATGCACAAGCGGGTGCCTAAACCCTGTCTATCTTTCCCTGCATGCCCATCAACTCAAACTCTGATAAGCTTAACAATCCAGCCGAACTGGTGTGGACTTTGACAGGCTTCACCCTGGTATTTACACAGGAGTTGTCCACATCTGAACTTGTCATTCTCAGGACCCTGGAAAGAAACCGAGAGAAATAGACATCTTCTTTTGGTCCAGTGAAACATATTTTGTAAGTTCCTGTTTTTCTCCAGTGACTATTGCGGGATGTCTAACTAGAGTCTGTAAGTCCTGATAAACAACTAAGTTATGGGCACTAAAATCTTTAAATGTTTTTATTAGACACTTTTTTTTTTTGTTCAACATGCAACTTGTCAAAGGAATCTATTCTTTAGTGTCAAGTAATTGCAAACAGGCAACAAATATGCTGAATGTAGTGCTGAGGATGACAAATTAGCTCTATATGATAAAGGCAGGTGTTAAAATATTGCTGCTAAAATGCTTAGATCTGCCTCTTTGTCTCTATACCCTTCAGTTCCTGATGTGTAAAATAGTGACAGTGCACTTCTCCACCTTTCAGGAAACTCATGAGTATAAATATTGTAAAGAGAGAAAAATCAAATATTACAAAGAGAACAAAAAAACAAGAAAAATCTCACTGCTAAGTAGAGACAGTCATTCCTTATTGACAAGTCTGCCTGCTTTTCCTAAATTAGAATTAAAACCCTTTTCAATCTTCAATAATTAGAATGGTCTTTAAGAGGATAACAAAACAAATACTTTTATTTTTAGTCTCTTTTCATTATTTTCAATCTGAACAAGCATTTGAGGTACTGAGATGTATAAGTCCTCCTGAAATCAGCCAGAGCTTTATCTGTAGATCCAGGTCCAAGGGATTTTTTTCGACACATTCAACAGAAAAGCAGCTTAATAATTATTAATGCCTTACTTATCTAACTGAAATGCACTGAAACCAAGAAAATATTAGCTATTTTGCAGTGTACCATTTTTCTGTCCATGATTAGATTCACTCATATGTTTGCATTAAATTATGCAAAGTATTCTTATTTACCGAGTATAGCTATGCTTTCAGGGCTTGCTGCAACATCAGTTTTCAGCCCCTAATACCTTCTCCAACACCTGTAAAGGAGAGGAGAGACTGAGTCATTTGCAGAAGATCACAGCACAGCTTTTCTATGATTTCTTACACAACTAGGTTTTTTCAGAAGGCAGAATGGTGCAGTTTTCCTGAAATGCATATTATCTTCCCACTTTGGTAGCAATGTGTCACAAATCACGATCAAATGAACAAATTTTGCCTAATTTAAAAAAAAAGGTTAAAGGAAACAAAGGTGGAATGCCACCCAGGAACTGAGTAGCTGCATGGCACTGGGGACAGGGGAGGGGAGAAGGCTCCTGGACCATAGAGGTCAGGCCAGTAGCTAATGCTGGGGAGAGAGATGGGAAGAAAAGCAAAGGCTGAGAACATGCTCCCACCAAAGAAGATCCCATCTCAGACAGTAGGAAGACCTGCATCGGTGTATTAGACTAATCTTAATGGAGAGTGGAGAGAATACCAGGATACACTCAGTTTCTCACCTTAAATTTCCTGTACCCTATCAGTAAGGGCATCTTAGATCTACAGGTTTTTGAGATGCTGTATTTCTACCTACTCTCAATTGCCCTGTACGGTAGTTTCAAGTTCCAGGGGTCATTTCATTGTCTGACAGTTATGTTTCCTTTTCAGAAGACTTCTGGAATATTTCCCCTCCTCTGGAGCTGCCAGTGCAGCAGGCTTCAAGGGAAAAGGTGAATGCCTCTGACACTCTCCAGAATAAGATCAAATACAGTTTGTCAAAGAAAAAAAAAACAAAGAAAAAAATTCAAGAGGCAAAATAAGTTCATAAAATTATTTGCATATTTTACAAAACCTCATGAATTATACAGAAGTTTCTACAGACACAAGGGGCTCTGATTCATCTGAAGCATTTTGGCAAGTTCTCTTAAATTCATGGGGTCTAATTTTGCAACAATTTTCTCCAGGATTTTGGTAAATTTACTGCCTTACAGATTTAAAAAACAAAAAGGACTTTCAATTCTTTTGAGGCCTTTCTCTCTTCTGTGTCTCAAAGAGAATAGAGAGTACCAATATTTTTCAAGTTTTTCTCAGAGGTTTCCTTGAATTGACGGGGATAATAGATTGGCCTCACAGGTCAACTTCATCCTCACCCGCAGTTTAGGAACCCTGAAGACTGAAGATAATAAGAAAAAGGAAAACAGCACTCTTTAATCCTGTGGTTCACACAGAAATCACAGTTTCATGTTCAGATATAACTAGGTCATTTTCTTCTAAAGAAAGATGGATTTGGTATACTGTACTGTCCAAAATAAGCCTACTGCTTCATTCACTAGTAACTGCCCTTTGTTTTACTATTGACAGTTGCAAAGGCCAAATGATTTCAAAAGTGACCAAGCACTGATATGTTAGAAGAAAACACAGGATGGCCTCTTAATTTGGTCCAAATGCAAAAAGTCTGCTTTGAAATGGCATTGCTTTTACAACTTCTTCAATAAAGGAAATTGAAACCAGCTTGTAATGCATCCATTACACTTACCAGCAATTCTTGTCCTAAATGACTTCCTTTCAATCTCAGTGAAGTCAGTTAAATTCTAACTCACAATATTAAGTCACTTATAGTGCTAACCTGAAACTTTTCCTTTCAATAGTGTGACTTCTTCTACAAAGCGTTGGAAAGCTACCCCAAAACTCCTAAAATCTTTTCTAGTAGTCATGCTTACTGTAGCAAATAACCCTTAACTCTTGTACACATAACAAAATGTGTGTGTGTGTGTTTCAAATTCCCCCCTTCATTGATAGAAAAAAGAGTTGGGGGGAGAAACAGATCACAAAAATATTTATTGGAATATATTTTGTTAGATCGTTACTATTGAAGGAGTTAAGGTAGCATTATTAAAAGCAGATATTTGCATGGTATATTTGCTTATTTCCTCCCCCCTGTTCTCACCCCCACAGGCACACACTATCACACAGACACTGCAGCACACATCGTCACTCTCAGTCCAGCCCAGCTGTTCACTCACCAGGGAGCTGCACTGGTGTGACAGTGGCCTCTGAGCAGGTGTGCAGAGAGTCCCTCACAGGTCCCAGGTTTCCTCAGCAGCACATGCAGAGCTGGTGTCTCTGCACAGCTGCCACTGGCACCTTGGATATGGACTGAGCTGCACAGCCCCCTCGTTGGCACCGGCATAGCCTGGTGGCCTTACACACACTCAGCAGGATCTGAGTCTTCCATTCTTGAGGAGAGAGCAGGATGACAAGTTTTCAGAGTCTGTCAGCACTTGAGAGATTATTACCTTTCCTCTCAGTACTCTTCCTCTTTTCAGGCTGTTCTGTTCTCACCCATGGATGTAGGTAGGATCCATTTGCATCCACTTGTGCAGAAGTGTGCATGACACTGAAATGTGTGTCCTGACTTCAGTTTGCTCTCCTCCCTCTAGCTGTGTCTCTGGTGGTCCCTGTTAATTTATTGAAACAACACACCTAGCAGGGATTAAATATACTATAGGGACTAGGGGTGGGGGAATAGGACTGTCAGACTCCCTGTTTTATTCTTATTCACATCTGAAAGAAGTGTCAGAAGTGCCACTCTCAAAATCTTGGTGGCAAGTGTCATATTGTAATAGACACAAAAGTGTCTCTTGTGTTACATACAGAGCCAATTACACTGCTTTTGATTAAGAAAAACTGAGCACAATTCCCAGCTGGTGTTCCACACAGTTGCCAAAATGGAGTGTCTGGCCCATTGATAAATAAATATTGCAGATAGGTTCCCTGGACAGTAATCTGAAATTATTGTCCTGAAAATTGTGGAGTTGATAATATGAAACAAGCAAAAAATGCTTGTCTGAAACCAAAGCACAGTGTATTTTCTTGGGAAAGGATGTGAAAAAGAGTTTAAACAGCTCTGGTTCTTAATCTGACAGCAGCAAGCCACCTCATATAGTCACAGTCATGTTGAGTCCTCAGTCTTTTCCTTCTCTCTCTCCTTCCCACCTATGTAACTTGTAGAGTTTTATATCCAGATAAGTGGATTGGAGCATAAGCAATGAAATGAGTAATGTAATTTGGTGCCCATTGTCGGAATGGTGTTGGCTTCTTCCATTATGACAGCAAACAAAATTCAATTACTGTTTGGATATGAACAATTGTTGCCAAACTACCTGCCAAGTCTATTTTCTCTGTTGGCATGAAAAGAGCAACTCCATAGAAAGGATGTCAAGTATTCCCACAGTAAAGAGCAAAGGAGGGAGAGAAGAAACACAACTTTAAGAACAGGAACTGAATGACAATAAGACCATTTTGGGCCACAGTTTTGCTGTGAAAAGTCCCTAAGTTGTAACAAAGAAAGCAATGCCAGAGTAGATCCTAGATGGATGTGAAAAGGCTATCAACTGTGCTTTGCGGGCACTCTGCAGCACCTAGCGAAAAAAAATGCCTTGCAGCTGGTCAATGAAAAAATCACTGCCATGCTCAGCATAAAAATATCACCAATATTCTATCACTACCTTCACAATTTACACGCACAACAAACATTCTCCAAGCCTTTTCAATTAAACCAGAGAAGAAAAGCCTGTGAAAAAAGGTATTCATGTGTACTGATGCAATTTAGAATCTGACTATTGAGTAGCACAGGGTTGTGAATTTACTCTGTTTTCCTATGCACATATCTTTAATCTTCATTTGTTAATTGACATAAAGTATCAAATATCCAGTAGAATTATGGTTATATGTGATTATATTTTAGTAATCTTTCAAGTGGTGGTTGCCAGTAGCTCTTGAAATCTGGAAGTTTGAAGTAATTATTTTCTTATAGGAATGATGAATCAAGAAAATAGTAAGAGTGCAGGCAAATATGGGGAAATACAGGTGCTTGTCACTGTCTTAGTTTGAGAAGAGGGAAGGGATTGGATTGTAGATTATTTAATATAATATAACCTGGAATACATAGACAAATCTATATTTAGTCAGGTCATTGTATGCAAGCATACAATACTGAAGGTCTCGATTTTGAAAACTTTTTTGAAAACTACTGCAGCTGATACTCATCTGTGTTTTCTGTGTATATACTGAGGATGGGTGCATATGAAAATTGTAGGTATATGAGCATACCATTTTATCTGACTTCAGTCTATGAGATGTGAATTTTAGAAAATGACAAGGGCTTTAACTTAGAACCTGCAAAAAACCCACAACATTATTTACTGCAATGAATTTCTGCAGAAAGCAATACTAGAAAAATGAACTGAAGACACCATCAAGCAAGTGGTAAATAAAAAGGCAATTTAGCCAGATCATTTATTTAGCAAGTGGAAAAAGACATTGTTGCCTCCACTTTCTACTTCCCACTGGCCCCAAAGAAGTTTTTACTGAATATTTTACCAATTACTTCTATTAGGAATTATTGGGAAAATGCTGATACCACTGTCAGGAGTTAAAGAATGCAGTTTCTTGTCCCAAAACACTGTCAAAGCGATGGAAGGAACTTGCTGTAAGATAAACCACTGGACAAAAAATTCCCACTGTGTGGACTGTGGGAAGTTGAGATAAACTCAGACAGCAACAACAGAAAGATGCTAATTTCAGGCCTAGTGAGGCAGATCTGGGTAACCTGTCTGGACAAAAGTTTGCAGTGTCAAGCAGTGGTAAAGGAAACAAGTTACACATGCCATCTCAAGTTATGAGAATGGCATCTACACCCCATGGATACCCAGAACTTGGACTGTATAAAGGTGATACCCCAGAAGAATGACTCTGGGATGCCAACTCTGAGAAGACCAGGGTGAAGAAGGACCAGTAGGATGCCACAGAATCCACAGGGTGGTGATATCTTTCTACTTAACCTGTCTCTTTCTCTCCCCCCACTCCTTCTTCTATTTCCTTCTATCTCTCCACCTCGCATTTACTGTTAAATAAAATCCATACTATTGACTTGCCACATGGTCTCGTTTGCATCTTAATTTAAGCAGAGACATCTCTTTATAAATGGATCATAACAGCTGCCTGCCAGGCTCAAACAGGCACTGATGTAGTGACATCAGACCCCACAATCCATCAAGTCCAGGTTTTAACCTTGCAAGCCAGGGAGACCATTCCCATCCTCTTCACTGCACAAATAGGTTCAACACTCATGTGACCCTAAGAGCAGTATCAATTGTTGAAATGTGCAGACTTTGTTCTCTGTTTTCCTGCGTTTTGACCCCCTTTTTCACCACCTCTGTACTTCCATGGTGGGGAAAAAAAGTGTTTTTCCCCCTGGAGTTAAAAAAATGGTAACCCCCGAGAGGGTGGTGTCTCTCTTGGTGTTGACCCAATCAGTGCCCCTGCAAAATTTAAACATATCACACCAGACCAGAAAAGAAGGATGATGTAGTTGTTGGAGAAGAAATGGCCATGTTCTGAGACCACGAGGAGAGGGGGCAGGACCCCCGCTGGGGGGCCATGGCACCCCAGCCCCCATCTGGGGTCATAGAAACTCGGAAACAGTGTTAAACTGGACCGAGGTCTGTGACTGAGAAGCTGGGAGTCTTTCTCCACTGAGAGTGGGCAGCAGAAGACGGAAAGGCGGCAGCAGAGACAGCACTGAGCAGAGGCTATGGCAGAAAGCCAAGGAGATAAGAAAACAAGCATGCAGCTAAGCAGAGAGACAGAGAGATGTCTGAAGGAGAGAGAGAGCCAGTGACAGAGCAAGACTAAGCTCTACAGAGAGAGAATTTGGGGTAAGAACTGAATCCAAAATTCCCCAAAACCCCTCTGAGACCTCCTAGAGAGGCGAAGGTGGTGGACTCCCACCTGAGGGGAGTCTTGGAATGCAGCAGTACCGGAGAGAGGAGCTAAGAAGCTCAAAGACGTCCTGGAGCTGGACTGGGACAGCCAGATGGAATGCGGAGGGTGACCTTGTCCCCTCACTGCTGCTGCCAAGCTGGCAGCCTGAGGTAGAGCACAGGAGCTCTGATGGAACGCTTGAGGCAAAGACTTTCAACTGAAAGCTGCCCTAATATTCTGACTCAAGGGAGCTTGAATCCCCTGAGGAAAAGGACCGTCACAAAGACCCCTGCACTTCGTGATATGATGTGGTGAAGCGAGCCTGTCCCTGCAACCCACGGAAAAGAGAGACCTTCGATTGGAGTCGAAGAGCCGAGAGGGGTGAGATGAGACCCCCCTTGTGTGTATTGGAAAGAGATCCAGCTACAAAAATCCAGCTGCAACAATCCAGCTACAGCTGCTGCATGGAAGAAGAGAGACACTGCTGCTCATAAGTGGAAAGGATCTTTTCCTTCTTCCCTTCTGAACTTTTATTGGAGGGAGAAGAGATTTGACCCAATGTAAATACTGATTTATCATAGAAGAGTTAGTTAAGATTGTATATATAATGTATTATAATATTTATTTGTATAGTGATTGTAATATAATTCCCTTCCCCCCATATTGAGTCTTGTCTTGTGTCTGGAAAACCCATCTCACACTGGGGTGAGATGTAGGAGAGGGGCTTGGACTTGGGAATTGGATTTTAGGGGTCTCAAACCACTACAACTTCCCTTTTCCTACCCCCAGTCCCAAAGAAACAACCTGCTCACACTTGCTGTACCACCACTGGTCCCAGTTTCAGTATGCCTGTTGCTGGTGCTCCCTGTCTTATGTGTTAGCATTAATACCTTTGCATTAGGCATTGCTGACCTTTGAGGAATTTAATCCCTAAAACATCACTGAACCCTCATTATCTGCAAAATTGACCATCTTTCCCATAATTCCCTCTTATACATCTGTGGACACAGACAGCCACATGTCACTGCCTGTAAATTTTTTTGCTCTTTGCTGTGCCACTGCCACATCAAGTGGTTTCTTACATTGTGTCCAGCGATTTTATTCGTCCCATTGAGTTATCTCAGTCATTAGGCCTAGTCATATATTTTAAAAAATTACCTGTAAACAATATATAACCTATATTGTGTTGTATATATATGCTGCGTAATGCATTTCTGTCTGCAGAGGATCTCAGCCTCCTCCATTGTGTGGAACACTGAACTCCACAGAATCACAGAATGGGTAAGGTTGGAAGGGACCATAGTAGGTCATCTGGTCCAACCTCCTTGTTCAAGCAGGATCATCCTAGGGCACATTGCAGAGGATTCTGTCCAGATGATTCTTGAATATCTCCAGTGAGGGAGACTCCACAACCTTTCCGGGCAATCTGTTCCAGTGCGCAGTCACTCATACAGGAAAGTTGTTCCTCTTA